TGTTACTTGTTCTGTACTGTTCTCACACCCTTTGCATTTGCTTATCTCAGTATATGTCTTGCCTTCTACTTTTCGTAGTAGCCAATGTTTTGCTAAGATCTTTTTCTTTTTCTTTTTTGATATCTTACTAAATTACAGATTGTGTTTTGGTCCGTGTACAATCCACTCTTTCTTCCTTCTGTCTTCAGATATCTTTGTCCAGTTGATCATTACATATGAGCTAATTATTCTCATTTCATATAAGTAAAATTGTGTGATATTTACAAATTTGATCTGCATCGTACTACCAAATCACGTGATAATTTAGACTTAAACCAATAACTGCTTTGAATAATAAGCCTTTACTATTGAAATCACGAACTTCAAATCAGTTGTAGATCAGTTTTGAATTAGTTCAGTAAGACTTTAATGGAAGCAGATTTAGAAAATTTACTTACGGTAACTATTTTTTCTAAAATGCAATTACTTTAAATATAAAAGAGCTTACATTATTATTATAAATAGAATTCCACCAGAACTTTTTATCATGATTATCCTAATAATCCTTACATAAATGCCCAATACATTGCCGGAAATAAACTCTTTCAATCAAGATATAAAATAATAGAACTTGGATATTATCCACAAAATGTTAAATATACACAAAAAGGAAAAAACATTCAATATCAAATTCCTAATGAATATATTATAAAAACTGAAGTTGCAAATCAGACTGTATGTTGTAAAACAAAGTATACTGTTTTTAACAAGGTCTTATATACAATTACTTGGAAAGAAGGTCGTGCAGAATGGATGGTATCTAGTGAGCGATCAGCAAGTGGTGTCGTTAATGCATTCTTAAAGGTAATAATATATTTAGTATAGTGCTTAAGTATATTGTAATAGTTAATATTATGTATATTTTATAATAAATTTTGTAAGCAAAAACTTAAATTAAAAAACTTTATGTTTAAATAATATTATCTGATATCCTAATATTATATAGAAAATTAATAGAGTAAATTCTCGTCTTTTGGGAGTACATGTTTTTGGTTTTGATATCGAAATATTACACCAAATACGAAATGAAAAATCTAATAAATTACTTTTATCAAGAACCATGAATAATATAATTAATAAACGAAAAAAACTACTTAATGAAATACAATCATCATCACAACAAAAAAAATGATATGTATCATTTGGAACAGATATTTATAATAGCGTTTAAAATCTTATTTTACAACATCGAATGGTCTCAGAATCTGGAAATCCAATTCGTATATGTAATATGGAAATAGAGAATAGAAATAATACTATCAATATAAAATATAATTTAACATTAGATAATACAAAGTTAGATGCTTATGTACGTGCTTGTAATGAGGCCTTACTAAGCCGTGATGGATATCGAAAACTTGCTGCTGTAGAACCATGATTAATACGTGAATATCAAATTGCACAAAGACGAATTGAAATTACTAAATTGATAAATAATCAAATACGTATTGGAATATTCAATCTTGATAAAGAACTTAATCAACAATTTAATAATGATAATAATAAATTTCAAGACAATCTTGATGGAATTGTAGTAGATGAAAAAGAAATTGAAAATGGAGTTTATCGATCAGTTCGATCTCTTCTTCAAATACTTGTACCTATTTGGACTAAATCAGTTCCACCAATTTTACAGTTAGGAGATACAATCAATTTAAAGCTTAGTGGAGACAGATGAAATGTTGGATGTAAACAAAACCATATAATGTTTACTTTTTGCTTGTTAAATGAAAAGGATGAAGTCTTAAAACCAGACCATCAATATTGGTAATTTAATTTATATAATAATATTTTTTACAACAATTATTAAAAAATAAAAATAGTATTTGTCTTTATGTAGGTAAAGAAAAATACGAAACATTAGCAAAAGTCAGGCATCTTTTTAAACTTCAACTTTTGGATCTTCAAGAGAATGGAATTTATATTGATAATACACATTGGCCAATCGAGCTTTTTTTTTCTGGCAATTGGAAATTTATATATAATATAATGGGATTAAATGCACCGAATTCGAGATATTTCTGCTTATACTGTAATTGTGAATCTAATATATGCTGAAATATGGATATAAAGTAGCCAATTAATAAAAATACGCTATGTAAGCTTTAAAATAACTTACTATATTTTCACAAAATAATGCACAGTGGTGTAATTTCAAATTTTGATCAAAATTTAAAATAACACCTCTGCATATCATTTTATAAAAATATAGTAATAAAGCATTATTAATTTTTAATATTTAAATTTTTTATTTATAGCTAAAAAAAAGCCCGAATTATTTCCTGCTATTAAACAAGAAAATTATGTACCAGACGAATTACATTTATTATTACGAATTTCAGATGTATTAATAGATTGTTTTTTTAACGACTTAATAAAAAAAAAAGAATTTGAATGATCGATTAAAACTCAAATTGAACAAGCCATGAAATCAATCAAGATACATTTTGAGTTTTTTAAATCTAATGGAAAATGGAATTGGACTTCGCTAATGGGTCCCGATAAGGAAAAACTTTTACAATTTTTTCTAGTTACTAATTTTATCTTGGGAAAACGTGGCAAGGATATTCAAAAACTTTGGCATAGTTTTTATAGCTTATATACAATAATAAGAAAACCAACTCTTACAGATAATGAAATTAATAATTTTGAAATCAAAGTAAAAGAATGGATTTATTTGTTTTGTCGACCAACTCAAGGCCAAATAAATTCATCATTCCAAATACCAGACTTATACAGAAAAGAAGATATTACTCCATATATGCACATTTTTTCTCAACATATTCCCGAATTTTTGCGAAATCTAAAAAAAAAAATTTATCATTATGATTTTTTTCTGCTTTAAGTATCAAAAAAAAAAACATAACCAGGTAAATAATTAAACTATTAAATACTTTTCTCTATATTTACTTTGTTTGAATTTAGGTTCGATTATTTTTTGGTGGAACTACGATAGGAGGTGGAATTAAAAAAAA